CCACATATTGATAACCCACTTTCTCCATCATAAGTTCTGCTGCAACTGCAACTTTAAACATTAGCAATCATATAGACAGACCATGAACAAGCTTCAGAGCAGCTGCTAGGTTCTGTTCTGCTGTGTCCAGATCTCCATTTTCTAGGTGATCACAGTCTGCTGTCTGTATGTACCTGCGGTAGGATCTAAACAAAGAAACAAGTTTTGAAACAAAAGTAATGTACATGTACTTCAGAAACATGACAAAGGCAACTACTATTCTTATTATAATACTATTAAGTGTTGTACAAAGGCAATTGTATGCCTGTCATCTATTTTACATGAATCTGTACAACCTAGACTAAGTCACAAACCAACATTTACACACAGTAGCATTAATATGTGTGTAATACATTCCTGGCTGTACATCTACTCTGTATTTTCTAATGTAACGTACATGTAATCGATCGTTAGCATCCCTTTCACAAATTTAGATTTTTTACCTGAGGTTCAATATTATGCCATCGTTTTATGAAAATTAACAAATTGTCCCATATTCATAACTATGATATAATAATTATTGCATTTTTTTGGATTGGAAACCACCAACAATATGCACCTAATACATATTGTACATCATACAAAGAAACACAAATTAAAGTACTAACATGTCGTCATCTACTTGACTGTTGGTTCTGTCAGTAGAGGGTGCAGCTGAGAAGGGAGAGAAGTGGCCCTTCTGTCCTCTCACGTCTTTTTGTCGTTGCAAACGTGTTGGCCTCTGCCAAAACCAATAGGAAGTAGTATATGATTAACATGATTAACAGGTGGTCATGTAAACCACAGAACAGCTTCAACCAATGGTCAAAGGTTAACAACCTGACATGACCCGAGGAAGGATATTACACACAGCGTGCAAAATACCTGGTTGCCCAATTAACCAAATTTTTCTTGAGGCAACCTATTTTTGAACCTAGGTAGACCAGTGTGCTACCTGAATTTTAAGAATGCCCCCCCCCCAAATAATGCCCACTTGGCTTGCACCACTGTATCCGGCAGATGCTTTTTAATTTTAGGTATTACTGGCTGTTACTAGTATCAGTTAACTAAAGGCTGTTAGAAATATTGTCAAAGGCTTGAGTATGTAACATTACTTAATTTGAGGAAAGTAGTAACTTATACATGTACAAAAAATGTAGGTGGGACAACCTAAAATTCTGATTTTTTAAAAAACTAATTTTTGCCTGGTTCAAAAAGGTATTTTGTACACTGCACAATGATGAATACTGGGTATTTGGAGGGGCATATAAAATGTGTTCATTGGTTGTTTATTTTTACATAATTTAACTAGTACAAGGGCAAAGCAAGGGCATATTACTGTCCCTATTGTCAAGATTTACACATACCCAACAACTAAAAAAAACAGCTTCTTGCTTCTGTGTTGTAGTCTAAGATTCAGTACAAACTTAACCCACACTTTTGTTCACGGAATCAAGCAATGAAGTGAATAAATCAATGTAAAAGTGGGTGACAGGATTTATGGAGATAAACAAACCGAGTCAAAACCCAGAAGTCAGTACTACTACTAGTGAGTTCTGTCATGCTCTAATAAAAATCTCTCACCTTGTTTCTTGTTCTTGTGATGTCTTGCCTGATTTTTGCTGTGTGCAGTAAGCGGTGAACAATGACAACTGTTCCATGAACGTTGTGACACCGCGCCAGTGCCCTGTTGTACAGAGCAGTAGCTCTGGTCACGTTTCTAGTGTCTCCAGTTTCTGTTCCTCTTTTCAGGTACACGTCACCCAGACTCTTGATCGCTTCTGTTTCTAACATGCTGTTGTCGTTTACTATCGCCTCTACCATCACCTGTGCGTATCCAACCAGCAATGAGTCTGTGTTACCTCCGGTAGCCCGTCTCTTGTCCAGGGCTTGAAACTTTGCCGCTACCTTAGCAGGTGTAGTTGTCCCCTTGTCTTCAGTTGGCTGTTCCTTACCCTGTGACGACACCCCTTGTAAAAGCCTCTCCGTGTAGTGGTAGCGGTGTTCTATACCATCTGCCTGTTCTTCATGGTAACACCGCACCATAGCAGCCAGATAAAGCGCCAAGGCTGTGTTGAACTTCCCCACGTCCTTCCCGAGTCTTCCCTTCTCCACGTTCACGTCGCCCAGAGTTTTGAGCAGCTCCACTTCCGCCAGCCTGTCCGTTTCGGCCATTGCGTCCACCAGGGCACGGAGGTAGCCTGTCTCTGCACGGGCTAGTCCGTACCTCCTGCCCTTCTCGTCCGCCTCACAGAGTTTCTCACACACCCGCAACATGGCGGACACTTTCTATGCTAAGAAAATGGCTCTAAAAATCCTTGTCTTCATGGGTCTCGATCTCTGTGCTATTTTTTCTGCACCTGACTTGAACAAGCATAGGCTTTACACTGCTTGTGTCAACATTACGTCATCCATTAATGCAAAGACTAAAGGTCCAATATTTCACAAATAGCCATAAACACATACAATGTAAGTTAACCTGGCTGCATGCAAAGTTTCACAATTACAAACATTGAAACAACATGTTTCAATATGAACGCCCATTGTGGTTTGTCATGCAGCATGTTTTTGTATGTATTGATTACTATAAGGCCATATCAATTTAATTTGTTGCTTCTCAGATTTTTTTCAGAAAAAATATGAAGCGACAGGGCGAAAAAAAGAAAGAATTAAAAACAGGTCTAGGCATCCTATTATAGCCCCAAAATGATAGGAGCCATGAAGGCTATTGGTTAAAATTGAAACAATGGATTTTAAACTTTTTATTAAATTAATGAAACCATTGCATTTATTTAATAAATGAAAACGTGTAACATCTAGGAAGAAAATTACATTCCTCAACTGTTGGGGGCAAAATATTTCTGTTGATTCAGAAATTTCCTACTCAATGATTGATCTGAACTGCCATTTATAAAAGAGATAAAGATTCTTTATTGACATAACAAAAAGTACAGGGACTTTTGTATGGTCTTCTACAACTACATGTTAAGATCTAACAAAGTTGAATACATGATTGTATGGATAACTTAATCCTACTTATGCATGTGGCAAATTACAGAATATGTATCAGTGGTAACATATGAATCAACGTTTAAAAGTTCTAATTGTCTTGTAAGGGGGTATCTTAAAAACAGACTCCAATCTCTGATTGAGATCTCTACCACTGTAGAATTGCCAAAACAATATTGTACTAGTAGGCCTTGAAATTAAGTTTTCTTCCTATTGTCCCAGCACTGTCCCAAAAATATATTTCAGTTGTCCCAAAGTGATGATAAACTCACAGTCCCAAGACCTAACCTGTTTTGTTGGAAGTCTACATGTAATAATTGTATGACTTCAACTTTAAGTCAAACTTTCTTTTGCTTAATGTTTACCCCTAGGCTCAGTAAAAGTAGACAGGAAATTTGTGGGGGACTTTTCCGGATCCAAAGCTGGGACGTGCGCCAAAAGAAGGGCTGATGTTGTCTGATTTATTGTTCTGTACAGTTGTCCCAAAAATGTCCCAAAGTGTTTTTTTAGTTGTCCTAGCCTACATTTTAGTAGCCAGTGGCCATTGGACCACCTTTAATTTTGAGCCCTGTACTAGATCAGTGTCACTGACCAGACATTAATTTAAAGAAACATTTTGTTGCATAATATATAGATTGTTGCATTAAATTTTTTAGTTATTCATTTTTATTAGTATTTGTGTCAGTTCAAATATTTGTTTACTGTTTTGTTACTTCACTTTTTCATTGTTTGGAAAGTACATCAATTATTTCTCTCATTTCAGACATATTATTTCTATTATTTGACCTCTGATCTCCAATGCCATACATTATATCTTAAACAACATTTCTAAAAAAAAGATATATATAATATAAACAGACTATAGTGTATAGCAAGAGAGATTGGGGATGTGCCATACATAGTACAGTATGTGACTCCTTAGCTAGCTTTTCTTGAGTGGTAATTTCCTATACCCTAATCATGGTGGGCCTTTCTACATGATCTAATGCTGTGCCAATGCTATTCTGGACTATGACAATTCTCTCTGTATGTAATTACTTTCATTATATTCTGTGACAGTTCCCAATACCACATGGCTTTACTGTCGTCACCTAGTTCTTCCCAACATGCTGCAATGTTACTAAGTGATGCAGCAATGTTGGGGTGTAGTGCGTTTTCCCCATAGATAGCTTTCCTCATCTTCAGTGACTGTTCGTAATAACTGATTGCTTCCTTTTGTTTGCCAAATTCCCTCCAACAGTTTCCAATGTTGTTTAGTGATCCAGCAATGTTGGCATGTGGCGTTGTTTCACCATATATAGCTTTCTTCATCTTCAGTGACTGTTCATGAAAACTGATAGCTTTCCTGTGATTGCCAAGGTTAGTCCAACATGCCCCAATGTTGTTTAGTGATGAAGCAATGTCGGGATGTGGCGTTGTTTCACCATAGATAGCTTTCATCATCTTCAGTGACTGTTCGCAATAACTGATAGCTTTCCTCTGATTGCCAAGCTCAGTCCAACATGTCCCAATGTTATTTAGTGATGAAGCAATGTCGGGATGTGGCGTTGTTTCCCCATAGATAGCTTTCCTCATCTCTAGTGACTGTTCATAATATGAAATAGCTTTCCTCTGATCGCCAAGCTCACTCCAACATGTCCCAATGTTGTTTAGTGATGAAGCAATGTCGGGATGTGGCGTTGTTTCACCATAGATAGCTTTCCTCATCTTCAGTGACTGTTCATGATAACTGATAGCTTTCCCCTGATTACCAAGGTCACTCCAACATGCCCCAATGTTGTTTAGTGATGAAGCAATGTCAGGATGTTCTGTTGTTTCCCCATAGATAGCTTTCGTCATCTTCAGTGACTGTTCATTATAACTGATAGCTTTCCTCTGATCGCCAAGCTTTTTCCAACATGCCCCAATGTTGTTTAGTGATGAAGCAATGTTGGGATGTTCTGTTGTTTCCCCATAGATAGCTTTCATCATCTTCAGTGACTGTTCATAATAATTGATAGCTTTCCTCTGATCGCCAAGGTCACTCCAATATTTACCAATACTGTTTAGTGATGAAGCAATGTCGGGATGTGGCGTTGTTTCCCCATATATAGCTTTCCTCATGTTCAGTGACTGTTCGTAATAACTGATAGCTTTCTTTTGTTCGCCAAGTTCACTCCAACTTGCCCCAATGTTGTTTAGTGATAAAGCAATGTCGGGATGTGGTTTTGTTTCCCCATAGATAGCTTTCTTCATCTTCAGTGACTGTTCATGATATAAAATAGCTTTCCTCTGATCGCCAAGCTCAGTCCAACATGCCCCAATGTTGTTTAGTGATGAAGCAATGTCGGGATGTGGCGTTGTTTTGCCATAGATAGCTTTCTTCATTTCCAGTGACTGTTCATAATAACTGATAGCTTTCCTCTGATCGCCAAGCTTAGTCCAACATGTCCCAATGTTGTTTAGTGACCCAGCAATGTCGGGATGTGGCGTTGTTTCACCATAGATGGCTTTCCTCATCTCCAGTGACTGTTCGTAATAACTCATAGCTTTCCTCTGATCGCCAAGCTTACTCCAACATGCCCCAATGTTGTTTAGTGATAAAGCAATGCCGGGATGTGGCATTGTTTCACCATAGATAGCTTTCCTCATCTTCAGTGACTGTTCATAATAACTGATAGCTTTCCTCTGATCGCCAAGGTCACTCCAACATTCCCCAATGTTATTTAGTGATGAAGCAATGCCGGGATGTTCTGTTGTTTCACCATAGATAGCTTTCTTCATCTTCAGTGACTGTTCATGATACCAAATAGCTTTCCTCCGATCGCCAAGGTCACTCCAACATGTCCCAATGTTGTGTAGTGATGAAGCAATGTCAGGATGTGGCGTTGTTTCCCCATAGATAGCTTTCCTCATCTTCAGTGACTGTTCATGATACCAAATAGCTTTCCTCTTATCACCAAGCTTACTCCAACATGTCCCAATGTTGTTCAGTGATGAAGCAATGTCGGGATGTGGCTTTGTTTCGCCATAGATAGCTTTCGTCATCTTCAGTGACTGTTCGTGATAACTGATGGCTTTTGTCTGATCACCAAGGTCACTCCAACATACCCCAATGTTTGCAAGTAATGCAGCAATATTAATGTTGTGATGCACTTTGGTGTCTTCATAACTAGTACATGTATTTCCAACACTAAGTGCCCGTTGGAAGTAAATGATCGCTTTCTCATAGTCACCACACATGTAAGTGACATGGCCTAATTCAAAAAGTATTTCAAACTGTTTTTCCTCGTCACTGCCTGCCTCTTCCAGTGCTACATCCAAGTGCTGTACGGATGCATCTAACTGCAACAACTCTCGTGTTATTCTGCCTTTTGTTAGAGATGAGGTGTCAAAGATGGCTGTTGGAAATAGCTTTGTTGTTGTATTTTCCTTTGCAACTGTATCTACAATGCATTTTTTTAGTGGAATAGCAGTATAGTAGTACCTAAACAGCATTTTTGAGTCTGGTATATAGAAAACTGACTGAACGAAAGTGTCGTCTACGTCATGCCTGTCCAGTTTGGAATTTTTCATCTCTGTGAGTGGAGACAGTCTGTCCTTCTGTCCTCCGTTGGCCAGGTACGTTCTTAACCGTAGCTCCGCTGAGATGCTGATCAGTACAGTCAAGTGGTGGGCATCTTTGTGACTGATCCGCTGTGTCTTGTGTAACTCTTCTATCATTTCCCACACACTGGGGATCGTGATACCGCAGCAAATACTCAACACATCAATGGCCACACTGGGAAAACGGTAGATTTCTTTCTTAACATTCAGAAGTTCCCCTGTTGGTTCAACATTTTCTATTTGCTGAATGTTATCCTTCAGTATCAGAATTGCTGACATCCGTGACAGCACAGGGGAACTATCTATGCTTTGGTTGACTCTGTCTGTATACTCATTCACCAAAGACTCGTCTCCTGTTAAGTAGGTCACCCGTCTGAGGATGTCTGACAGATGATAGCCTTCTGCCAGAGTGATGTGCAGATGCTGATATTCGGCCAACTTGGCAGGAGTCTGGATGAGACTAACAGGAGGTTTTCTTTTTGTTTCGTCTCTTCCAAACGGAGTCTTTGAAGCCCATGGCATGAAACCATCGAAAGCAAAGCCGCGAGGTGTGACGGAGTCAAAGAACCAATCTTTCTCTGGATCTTCTGAGAGAAAGTCGTTGAGTGACGGGATGGCCATGGCTGGGAGGATAGTTTCCCCAAGGTTGATGACTTTTAGATGTAAGTAGTGCGTGAGGTTTAGGAAGTACCTCCGCGTATCATCATCATCCTCCTTCCCCTCCTCAATCAGAATGGTGAACTCCAGGTCGGAGTACGGCGTCACCAGTTCTGTGGCCTGTGACCCCATCCCAATGAAAGCGTACTTACAGGGAGGAGGTCCGAGTTTGGCGATGCATTCATCTGTCAGTACTTGGATAAACCCTTGTCTATCAACTGTGATGCTCTTGAACAAGTTCTTGATTGCTTCAGCTCGTTTGATCTCTACCTCTCTCACAACAGGATCGTCTTCATCATACTGATAAGGGTTGTGTTCCCGATGAATTGTGTCAAGCTGAGATTTTGCACGGCCACACAAGTTGTCAAGTTCCTTTCTGTGATCTAACGCACTGCTATACGGGCATGGTTCACAGTCTAGGTTACAGGTGTTTTTAAGAAACTGCCTCTCTGTTTCTTGTAGTCTTGTTACCATGTTTTGTTTGTCTCCATCTGTTCTGGCCATGGAGGCGTTATACAGAGCTGCCGCCTGTGTGAATTTCCTACCTTCTCCTGTCCGCTTACCTCGCTCAACGTAGACGTCACCCAACCTGCACAGACAGTCGGCTTCTTTAGCCTTGTTGGGTTTACTGCGATCTGTAGGAAGGGAGTTAAAAAAATTAGAATTGACCAACTTCAACAGTTATATTTGGTTTGTTGTGTGATACATACTGTCACAACAACTGTCAACACTAACCACATTTACTTGTACTGCACGAGAGCCTGTCTTTCAGGGATTGCCTTTCAAGTCCCAAAGGAGATGCAGGGACTTCCCTGGACTTATGATTTATTTACTAAATGTAGTTATGACTGTGTGATATTTGTTTTTCAATTGGCTAAGATCACTATCAAAAATTATTAACTTTGAAGTATATAGCCATGTTTCAATTATTCAACATTTCATGATAGACAAAGTAGGCTCTTTGAATTGTCATTACTAGCAGATATATACTGATTTGCCAAATTTTAAAAATCTGCTTTCTTCATCATAAGTTTTACTGCAACTTTAAACATTAGACAATAGTAATAATAGACAGACCATGAACAAGCTTCAGAGCAGCTGCTAGGTTCTGTTCTGCTGCGTCCAGATCTCCATTTGCACGGTCTGCCATTTGGATGTACCTGCGGTAGGATCTGGACAAAGAAACAAGTTTTGAAACAAAAGTAAATTAAATGTACTTCAAAAACATGACAAAGGCAACTACAGTAAAGTGTTATACAAAGGAAATTGTATGCCTATCATCTATTTTACATGAATCTGTACTACCTACATGTAGACTAAGTTACAAACCAACTTTTACACACAGTAGCATTTATATGTGTGTAATAAATGCATTCCTCAGGCTGTACATGTACTCTGTATTTTCTAATGTAACCTAATCGATCGTTAGCATTCATTTTACAAAACTAGATTTTTCCCTGAGGTTTAATATTTTGTCATAGTTTTATACAAATTAACAAATTGTCCCATATTCATCATTAGGCCACAACAAGTAATTTTTATGGATGACATCCGCACGCCCATTAATTTTCGCCTGATTTTGAAAAAAAAAAAAAGGAAAAAATTTTGTTGCCCTCTGACAGTGGTCAACATGCCAAAAATGGGCAAAGATGTCTGTTGCCATGCCGGGAGGCAGATACAAAATGTAACTGAAGAGAGGAGACAAGAAAAGGCTCTGATTTAATGGTTTGTTTCTTACTTTGATGCAGTGATAAAGTAATGCTGGCTGTGTATATGATGTTCTCATTGAATAAAAACCATTTGTACAATGATTGATTCAACATTTTAAAATGTAGGAACCTTGTTTCTTCCCGCCCGCCTTGTTTTTTTTCGCCCGCTCGCATTAGATTTGGAGTCGGCGGAGGATGTCATCCATAAAATTTACTTGTTGTGGCCCTAATGCATTTTTTGGATTGGAAACCAGCAACAATATGCAGATAACAATATGCACCTACATTGTAAATTAAATACATGTACATGAAAGAAACACAAATTAAAGTACTAACATGTCGTCAACTTGACTGGTGGTTCTGCCTCTGGAGGGCGCAGCTGAGAAGGGAGAGACGTGGCCCTTCCGTCCTCTCACGTCTTGTTGTCGTTGCAAACGTGTTGGCCTCTGCCAGAACCAATAGAAAGTAGTTGTATAATTATGATTAACAGGTGGTTATGTAAACCACAGAACAGCTTCGACCAATGGTCAAAGATTAACGACCTGACATGACCCAAGGAAGGACATTACACACAGCGTGCAAAATACCTGGTTGCCCAGTTAACCAAATTTTTTGGGGGGCAACCTATTTTTGAACCCAGGTAGCCCAGTGTGCTACCTGAATTTTAAGAATGCCCCCCCCCCCAAATAATGCCCACTTGGCTTGCACCACTGTATCCGGCAGATGCTTTTAATTTTAGGTATTAATGGCTATTAATGGCTGTTACTAGTATCAGTTAACTAAAGGCTGTTAGAAATATTGTCAAAGGCTTGTGTATTTAACATTACTTAATTTGAGGAATGTAGTAATTATAACTTATACATGTAGGTGGGGCAACCTAAAATTCTGATTTTTTAAACTAATTTTTGCCAGGTTCAAAAACTTAAGGTATTTTGTACACTGCACAATGATGAATACTGGGTATTTGGAGGGGCATATAAAATGTGTTGATTGGTTGTTTATTTAAAAATTTACATAATTTAACTCAGTACAAGGGCAAAGCAAGGGCATATTACTGTCCCTATTGTCAAGATTTACACATACCCAACAACTAAAAAAAAACAGCTTCTTGCTTCTGTCCTCTAACGTAGTCTAAGATTCAGTACAAACTTAACCCACACTTTTGTTCAAGGAATCAAGCAATGAAGTGAATAAATCAATGTAAAAGTGGTGACAGGATTTATAGAACAAACCAAGTCAAAACCCGGAAGTAATTACTAGAGTTCCGTCATGCTGTAGTAAAAACAGATCTCTCACCTTGTTTCTTGTAGTGGTGATGTCTTGCCTGATTTTTGCTGTGTGCAGTAAGCGGTGAACAATGACAACTGTTCCATGAACGTTGTGACACCGCGCCAGTGCCCTGTTGTACAGAGCAGTAGCTCTGGTCAGGTCTCTAGTGTCTCCAGTTTCTGTTCCTCTTTTCAGGTACACGTCACCCAGACTCTTGATCGCTTCTGTTTCTAACATGCTGTTGTCGTTTACTATCGCCTCTACCATCACCTGTGCGTATCCAACCAGCAAAGAGTCTGTGTTACCTCCCGTAGCCTGTCTCTTGTCCAGGGCTTGAAATTTTTCTGCAACCTTAGCAGGTGAAGTTGTCCCCTTGTCTTCAGTTGGCTGTTCCTTACCCTGTGACGACACCCCTTGTAAAAGCCTCTCCGTGTAGTGGTAGCGGTGTTCTATACCATCTGCCTGTTCTTCATGGTAACACCTAACCATAGCAGCCAGATAAAGCGCCAAGGCCGTGTTGAACTTCCCCATGTCCTTCCTGATTCTTCCCTTCTCCACGTTCACGTCGCCCAGAGTTTTGAGCAGCTCCACTTCTGCCAGCCTGTCCGTGTCGGCCATGGCGTCCACCAGGGCACGGAGGTAGCCTGTCTCCGCCCGGGCTAGGCCGTACCTCCTGCCCTTCATGTCCAACTCACGGAGTTTCTCACACACCCGCAACATGGCGGACACTTTCTACGCAGAGAAAATGTCTCTAAAAATCCTTGTCTTCATGGGCCTTGCTCTCTCTGCTATTTTTTCTGCGCCTGACTTGAACAAGCATAGGCTTTACACTGCTTGTGTCAATATTACGTCATCCATTAATGCAAAGACTAAAGGTCCAATATTTCACAAATAGCCATAAACACATAAGTTAACCTGACTGCATGCACAGTTTCACAATCATAGTCATTAAAACAACATGTTGCAATATGAATGCCCATTGTGATTTGTCATGCATGTTTTTGTATGTATTGATAACTATATAAGGCCACACCAATTTAATTTGTTGGTTCTCAGATTTTTTCAGAAAAAATATGAAGAAAAAAATGTTTTCGACCAGTCACTCTCAGTAGATTGACCCAGTGAAGCTTGTCACGTGGCTTCTCTGAAGTTTGATGTCAACACTGGGTCAAAGGTACCGACGGGTACCGACATCCTCTACCAAATACCTTTGACCCAGTGTTGACGTCACACTTCAAAGAAGCCAAGTGACTAACCTCACTGGGTCAGCCTACTGAAGAAGACCAGAGTGACTGGTCAAAAGCTCTAGGTGAGATAATTTTTTGTGTTGGACCAAAAGTTTTAAATTTAAACAAACATGTACACTCCTGTTGTTCCCATGCAGCCCCTGACCATGACAGACTACTCCCGGCGCTGGTCCTGTCTGCTACACCTGGAGGAGCTACAGATGGAGATAGACATCCACCAGTTTGACATGATCAACGTAATCCTTGTCCTTGTCTTAATTAACAGTAGATCACTGAACTGTTAAACAAACTCAATGACCTATCCATAGAAATATTTTGCATTTTCACTAAAATTTCAGGTCTCGAAATAATTTTTTTCTACATACACCTTTAGTGGTGCAGGTAACATAAAAAATTACCTGCATCAGACAAATTTTACCTGGGAGTGCATCACTCACAATTTAGGAAGTATAATGGATTGCTCTTAAAGCTGTTAAAAAACATTGCTGAGATTAAATCTTTTATGCTTCATATGTGGTGACAGTCAATGCAGCTAATGAAAATAGTTGAATGTGTACATACATGTATTATGAACCTAGTACATGGACAAGTGCAGGTTAGGAGCCCTCACTCACACACTCACTGTCCGGTTTATCGTCTGATTTCGTATATACAATGTCATGTACATGTACATGTAGCTTCCTACTAGATAAGCACTTATTAAGCAGCATCATTGAAAATGTATGGTTACAATTTATTTGAGGTATTTTTAATCCTTTTGTGGTAAAGTTTGTTTCTGTTTCGAATCAGGAGTCTCTACAGCCGTGTGGTGAGTACCTATCTCTGACAGTACCCGGGTTAGCAGAGGGTCGTCCTTCTGTACTGATCGGAGACAAGGTGGTCCTCACTGCACCAGGGGCAGGGGACTGTTCACCCAGCTATGAGGGATATGTGCACGAGGTTAAGATATTCTGTTAATCACGTTTTTTTTGTACATGTAAAATTTTGTTTTTAATTTGCATTTTTTATGCGGTCACTTCTGTACAGTGAATTTATCATTACTGTGAACAAATAATTCACCAACTTCTCCATTTTTCTCAGGTCAGTTACAGTAATTCATTGTTTTAACCTACTTATTGTGACTACACACAATTGCAAGTTATTGATGTCTGGTTTAGGCCACATCAATTTAATTTGTTGTTTCTCGGATTTGCCCTGTCTACTTTTTTCTGATTTGAAAAAAAAAAGATTTTAGGTTCTGAATTAACTGCAAAATGCTCAATAAAAGACATTTCTCGGATTTGCCCTGTCTATTTTTTCTGATTTGAAAAAAAAAGATTTTAGGTTCTGAATTAACTGCAAAATGCTCAATAAAAGACCTATTTTGATCCCAACAGTTGAAGTAGTCCTTTTCTTCCTAGTTGTTGCAGTTTTTCAATGTAACAATGGAACTTTGTTTCATTAAAAGTTAAAAATGTATTGTTTTACTTATAAACCAGGCTGGTATGTTGACCTCATGGCTCATATCAAAACATTTTCGGCCTTCATGGGTTGCCTTGGCCTGTTTTTTTTTTTATTTTTATTTCACCATGTCGCTTCATATTTTTTCTGAAAAATAAACGAGAAACAACAGATTAAATTGGTGAGTCCTTAGTTTGCTTCTCAAAGAATTTTTTCACGAGCTGTGGTGCTACAATGTAGGTTCTGAACTGGCTGCCCAATAAGGCAAGGGGATTTTTTTAATTATTGTCCAAACCAGGTTTTTGATTGCTCATCCATAATTGTGTTACAGGTGTTGAGAGAAGAAGTACTGCTGAAGTTCCACCAGGACTTCCATACAAGCTATGACGGAGAACCTTACAATGTCTTCTTCATGTTTAACAGGTATTTTATACAATCCTTCCCTGTCAGGGCTCAAAATTCATTTTGGATAATACATGTAAGTGCACTGCTGCACCCAACCTAAAAAATTGGGTGCACAAATTTTTTTTTTGGGTGCACCATAGCACCAAAGGTCAGCAAAAACTAATTATGTATCATTTCTAAATAAATGTACTGTAAAAACAGTACTATAACAATGATTTTATTATCTTTTGACCCTTAGAGCTGTATGCTACTATACATTTAACATCTTTACATACGTAAACCTACGAAAATATTTAGGTGCACTGGTGCACCCACAAAAGAAAATTGTGTGCACAGCTCCAAATTTGCGTGCACTAAGGTGCACATGCACCCGGTATTTCAAGCCCTGCCTGTCCATCTCTAAAATGCTGCCTGTTTATTTCACCAGGTCCACACTGAGGCGCTGTCACCAGGCTGTCAACTTTGCCCACAACCTGGGGAGTCAGGTGCTGTTCCCATCCCAGCCCACACTTAGTCCTCCACTGGCTAACTGTCAACTGGACAGGAACAGCACACAGCTGTCAGCTGGGAAGGGGAACCATTCAGGTAATGCGTTATTGTGGTAGCAAAAGTTCACAGTCTGAGAAAAATGGACGTATTCACAGAACTATACAAGATCGTGGTGGCGGCAGGTGCATCAAAAAGGAAATTGGTGAATTATTTGTTTGAGGTAATGATAAATATTGTGGTACAGAATTGACCGCAAGAAATGTGAATACGAAAGTACCGTGAAAAAAATCGTGATTTACAGTATGTTGTCCAGGGAAGTACAAGTTTTCAAAAAAGATAGCCCGATAAAACAGCCTTAAACACGCCAAAAGTATTAGCCAAAACCCAAACCTCTGCTTAGAGAGTAATGAAATGTATGGAATGGATTGTTACTTGCAGGAAGGAAATCCTTCTATTTTTTTTATCAAAGTAACTAAAAATACCATACATGAAAGATAAAATCATACTACCAATGAAGATAAGAGAAACAATAGACTAAGACTTAGTGTAACCATAACATCATATAACATAGAACCAATTAGAACATAATAGAATGAAATCAGGATTGAAATCATAGTTGATAACTTTCGGCTGAACAGATGCACAGCAGAGCAAGGGAGGAAGGTCACCTGGTGCTCCTGTACAGCTGTTCAACCCCAGCCTGAACCAGCAGCAGCGAGCAGCTGTCAGCAGGATCCTGCGAGCTGAGGGGCGCCCTGCACCGTATGTGCTGTTTGGACCACCTGGTTAGTGTGTTTCTTCATGACTCAGTGTTTGAAATACCCATTTGCATTTTAGAGAGACATTTTCAATACTAAACTGCAGACTGAAGAAAAATTAAGCAACCTGTAATTTTGCAGACTGCAAAAATCAGGCTAGGGGTTCAATGGTGTTTAAGAGCTGCTTTGCTGTTTGCTAACTGATTCTATAATGATTATACAACTAATTTTGCATGTACATATATTTTTCAAATTGCATGCAAAATGTTTGCCAACGGACAATTTTGCATATGCCATGGGTTTAGATACGGACTTTGTGACTGTGTACTTGTAGAAAGTACAATGTATTTTCCAAATTGCAGAAGAAAATTTTGAAATTCTGCAATATTGCAGATCCCTGAAAAAGTATTTCTAACACTGTGACTATAATTATAATCTAAAAGACTTCTTAGGCATGAAAATGAAGAGTCTATTATTCACCATACCATACTCTGTGTGTTTAGTCACTGTGAACTTCAACTTTCATGACCACATAGATTTCATAATGATGGCAACTTTCTTTTTTGCCAAACTTTTTTATTCACATTTTTGCATCAGGTTTAGGGTTCCCAGAGGATGTCATCCATATCAAATCAACATGGCCTGAGTGTTCAATGGTTTGACTGTACATTGTTTTGTCTTGATTTATATTTCAGGTACAGGGAAGACAGTAACCCTAGTAGAAGCCATCCTGCAGGTGTTCCATACCCTACCTTACAGCCGGATCATAGCCTGTACTCCATCTAACAGTGCAGCTGATCTACTGGTATACTATATGCTTACTTCCTCTGGTTTTGGGATACAAACTACAGTGTTTGAATTTGTACAGTAGAACACATGCATACATTGTAGAAGTGGGTGAGGAAGAGAACTATAAGTATAATTATTATTATTATCAGGGCTCGAAGTCATTTTTCTGCATGTCTTCATTAGTGCAAGCATCATTGAAAATTACCTGCACCAGACAAATTTTACCTGCATCACTCAGACTTTGAGAAGTATAGATCGTACAAAAAACTGTTCAGAAACCATTGCCATTATTTCATTTATACTGGTGGTTACAGTCAATGCAGCAAATAAAAATCCCGTTGTATAAACCCAGTACATATGGACCAGTACAGGTTAGGTGCAGGTAGTGATCAAATAGACCTGCACAGCTCCAATTTTACCAACTTTTGTAACAATGTGTTTTTCAGGCAGAGAGACTACACCACAGTGGGCAGGTGAAACAGGCAGACATGGTCAGACTGAATGCCTTCCAGAGAGTACAGGAGGTGAGAATATCACACAGTTTAGTCTCTCTTCAATCTGTAGCTTTTCCAAAAGCATACCAGGAATAATGAAAGTGGGTTACCAAACACGATAGACTGGATACCAGGCTATACTTCAATCTGTACATAACATTTGTCTTTTACAACCAGTGGGACATTATAGGCCACATGCACCAATTTAATTTCTTGGTTAACGGATTCGGTGCTTCATTTTTTTCTGATTTGCAAAAAAAAAAAAAGAATTCAGAATCAACTGCAAAATGCTCATATTTTGCCCTGAATAGTTGAAAACAGTCCTTTTCTTCCTAGTTGTACATGTAACAGTTCATCTTTCAATGCAATGGTATCATTAAAAGTTCAAAATTCATTGTTAAAATTTTGAACCAGCCTGGTGTGTTGACTTCATGTCTCCTATCATACCATTTTGGGCCATAATAGGATGCCTAGGCCGGTTTTTATTATTATTATTTTTTGCCCGCCCTCTCCATTATTTTTCTAGAAAAATCCGTTAACCAAGAAATTAAATTGGTGTAGCCTTAGCTCTTCAGTGAGGTAAAACTTTCTTTTTTTCTTATAAACTTCATCTGCTGCAGGTGCCGGAGTCCATAGAGCGGTACTGTATGGATGGAGACCAGCTGGAGCAGGTGTCTCGCAGGCGCATCATCGTGGCCACCTGCTCCACGGCAGGCCTGCTGTACTCAATCGGTCTGCGGGCAGGGCACTTCACTCACGTGTTTGTGGATGAGGTACATTGTATACGATTAGGGTTGCGTACCTAAACGTAACATCAGATACACTGATACAGGTACATGTACACGAACCAGTACCAGTACAGAAGTTACAGGTCCAGACCTGTACATTTTATACCTGTACCTGAACAATTTGACAAATTAACTTTCTTCCGAACTTCCTCAATAATATTAAAACTGTAGTAATAAACTTGACAGAATCTATTAAAATAAAACAGGACAGAACTAGGGAGAACAGAATAAAAGGCAAACTTTATGCTGAAAATGTACACTTTCATTTGTTTGCATTCTATAGGTCTGGAGAGACCTTGAAATTACAATATCTATGACTTACCTTTATCAATTGTGTTTCATGCACTTTTAACATTAATGTGGATGTTGTTGTTGATCCCAGGCTGGCCAGGCTACAGAACCTGAGTGCCTGATTCCAGTGGGCCTTTGTGCAGGGGTACAATCTCAGGTATGTACATGTACAATACATGTAGCATGTACTGTATATTAAGGATAGTAGCCCTTAGGCCACACTAATTTGAATTGTTGGTTCTTGGATTCCTCCGCACCATTTTCTCTGATTTGCAAAGAAAAGAGTTCAGGATCTGATCAAATCAACTCCAAAATGCCCATATTTTGGCCCCAACGGTTGAAGAAGATCCTTGTCTTCCTAGCTGTTACAGTTCTTCCATTTTCAATGCATTAATTGGTTTGACAAAAAGTTTGATATTAGTTGTAGCTTTGGAGCTATCATAGGATGCTGAGGCCTGTTTTTTTTCACCTTAGGCCACACCAATTTAATTTGTTGGTTCTCGGATTCGCCTCTTCGTTTTTTTTCTGATTTGCAAAAAAAAAAAAATTGATTCTGGTCCTGAATCAACTGAAAAATGCTCATGTTTTGCCCCCCAACAGTTGAGGAAAGTCCTTTTCTTCCTAGTTGTTACAGTTTTCCCATCTATCATTGCAGTGGTTTGATTAAAAGTTCAAACTTCAATGTTTAAATTTTAACCCAGCCTTTTGTGTTGACTTCATGGCTCATGTTGTAGCATTTAAGCCTATAATAGGATGCCTAGACCTGTTTTTATTTTATTTTTTTCGCCCTGTTGCTTCATATTTTTTCTGAAAAAATCCGAGAACCAACAAATTAAATTGGTGTGGCCTTATTGCGTGAGATTTTTTCTGAGAAAATTTGAGAACCAACAAACCAAATTGGTGTGGTCTTGTTGATTTTTATTATTATCCTTTAATAGTCTTTCTCTAAAGTTTAAAATTTGTCATAGCTTTGGAGCTTTTATAGGATGCTTATATATATATAGGCCTGGTTTTTTCACCCTTTTGCTTCAGATTTTTTCTGAGAAAATCTGAGAACCAACAGATCAAATTGATTGTTATTTTCCTATGAAAGTCTTTTTCTAGGCCACACGAGACATGACCTTTTGTCATCCTTTGTATTTCAGGTTGTGCTGGCAGGAGACCCCATGCAGCTGGGCCCGGTACTGCAGTCCCACCTTGCCAAGGACCTGGGCCTGGGGCAGTCCCTACTGGAGCGCCTGATGACCCGGGGTCCCTACCTCAGGGACAACAACAAGTTCTCCCAGCATGGAGCATATAACCCTCTTCTGGTATGTTTCTTGATCTTTGAAATATCAGTTAGGCCATGTGGATTTAATTATATGGATGACATCCGCGCACGCACGAATTTTCATCTGTCTCCATAAAAACAAGTGCTTCTGCAAAAGCTGACCATTTTCGCCGCTTACAGGCTTACAGTTTTTACGAACATTTTCCCCATCCTAGCATTTCAATTTACCTAAGTTATATAAATGGTTCTAGTTCTCATCAACATTGTATATAATGAGAGAACATGCACTTCTATATTTCAACTCTTTAAGTTTAAAACATTACAAAAATCAAGTATATAACAGTTTATAACCTGTTTTCTCTCTTTTAAGAGTCTTTTTAACAGAATAAAAAAATGAGACACAAAAGTACATTTTAACTTAAATTATAAGTAACGTTAATATATATATATATAATTTTATTCAAAATCTCTTCTATGGCTTTGTCCCCAACATCTAAGTTTACAAACCTCGTGACATTCAACCAGGGCTTTAGCCAGCGCCCGTTTTACCGTCAATTGACGGTATTTTTCCCGTCGGACGGTAAAAATTTAAGTCCTTACCGTCAACATTGACGGTCAAAAATCGTGGGTGAAGACATTAAACTTAGCAAAAAATGTAGCGAATTTGAATGAGCCACGGCGCGGGGTCTTTCCAAAGCGCGTCGCGTCTTTTCAAAACGCCGCGGGCCCACACATTTCTTATTTAAATACGGCGGGAAACCTGACTTCAAGGAACGTGCCGATGTCTGTTAACTCGGTTCTTTTCTTCAATGTTGCTGTCTGTTTAAACAACATGTGCTAACGGCCACATAAGAACAATGGCTCGACTCAGGCTCACGCTGGTAACTGTACATGACAATAAGATAAATAAACAACATGTGGCAACGAACAAAGAAATATCAAACGTTTTGAAAATATACTGTACTTGAATTTTCATACCATCGCAAGAAAACGGAGATCGATCTACGCAAAGTGGCTTTATTATTTATATAAACTTCGTTAAACCACCTTCGAAGACTTGAGCGGCAGCATAAAGATAAATTTTCTGGAGCCGATCGCTGAAGCAAGTTTTTGCCGGCGTACGTAACTCCCTCCGCGGCAAAATCCCATATGCCGTAGCGAAATCGCGTCTCAGCACTTCCCCAAATCAACTCCATGGCCGCTAAAGTCTGCAAATGAGGTTAAACTTCCTCATTTCGGTTGAGAAGCGAAGCTACTAGTATAAAATCATGTGCATGGCGGCCATTTTGTTTGCTACCCGAAGTCTTCCGAATGATCTAAATAAGGAAATCGTCGGAAATCTGAGCCACATCCCTCGCTGTCGGCATGCGCTCGGGGCTGGCTCGGTGTAAATCGGAGGCTGTGGCGTCAGGACTAGGTTTATTTGCATGGCTCGGGAAGCCGCCGCGGCTTGAATCGCAGCGGGATTTGGGCGCCGGGCGGGTCAAACAAAGGGAATATGAAGTTGTGAGGACCATATATTTTTTTTTTTCATTCTTCAAATTGCAGATTGTGTAATTTTTTATCCTGAAATCTTGAAAATCTATCTGCAAATTGCAGACTGAAGACGGGTATTTAGAACACTGAATACATGAAGTGTGCGGGGGGGGGCATGATGTCGATCACCGGATCATGATTTTTTTTCGCGTTGACCCTGATTCAACCCTAAAATAATACTCGAAGAGAACTTCAAAAGTCATCTTTTACTAATCATATATAATTGTTTACATTATATCATCTGATCAACCTGATCTATTAAAAATTGTCAATGGAAAATACCTTGCCAAACAATGCAATACCTATTTAAGTTAATTAAACACTCACTCATTAATTAATTAATTTCCTAAAATACAAAAGACATGTTGGTGAAAGTTAGGCACCCAGGTAATATCAATAGTTCCACGGACAGCTATGTAGGCCGGAGCTTCTATTGCGTGCGATCTACGTTTGGTCAGAAAATACACCCCCCCCCAACACACACACACACAAAAACACCGATCCGGGAACGCCTGAAAAGGAGGCTTTTAATAAGCTTTGCCTGCAGCGCCTTGATTGGTCGGACGTGTGACCCTCTGGACTGCCGGCTAATGGAAATCTGAACATCTAGACTAATCCACACTGCTAATGCTCATTGACATAATTTATGCAGTTTATTAAAATCCTTGATTACTGTGATTATAGACATGTCTTTATCAACATTTTTGGCAAATAATAAAATCAAGTTATTGTTCAAGACAAATTAAGTTTGTTTTGTCAGCAGCTTTGTTATGCAACATTAATAGAACTATGATTTTGAAATTAGCAACCATAATGGAAAGTATACAAACGTCCAAGGCATAAATGGTAAAAAGTGCACTCGCAACAACGACATCTAGCGACATGCGGCAACTCAGCATGTCTGCATGGCCGTCGCAACAACAACATCTAGCGACATGCGGTGACTTAGCATGTCTGCATGGCCGTTGAAGGGTGGAACCGTTGATCCATCCATCCATGCATCCAATCTCAATCTCGTCTGAGTTACCATTTTCGCGCATGCGAAAATGGTAAAAAAGAAAGTTTTTGACCATATTGTAAATCACACAAGGCACCTGCAAAATAAGCATTATATATGCAGCCATAGACTGCAAAAATAATGTAATATTGGAAAACGATACTAATGTCATAGAATGACAAAATCAATTCCAAAGGAAAAGAAGAAAATGCGAAAAAAATGAGTCAATATTATTCCCCATACCATACCCTGCATGTTTAGTCATTTGTTCAACCTTTATGACCACAAAGATTTCATAATGAAGGCTAATTTTTTTTGAGGTGGGGGACAAACTTTTTCTTTTATTCGCATCAGTTTTAGGGTTCCCAGAGGATGTCATTCATATAATCAAGTCAACATGGCCTTACAGTGCAAGGTTGGACAAGTTTTCAAAAATGGTCTGACCCATTTCCACTTGCCCAAACCAACTTTTAACTTGCTGAAAATATATATGAATGACATATCTCTATGCATTTTTACTTGCAGCAAGAAAATCATATTTTTCAGTAAAAAAAAGCACTTTAAAGGTGGCACTTTAGTGGCGAGAACGCAATTCCAAAAGTGGCTAGCTGTAGGTTCTTGTATCCCCCCTCGTCCCGAGTTCATCACTGGGATTGACTTTCTTATCCAAACTGCTTCTTAAATCCAGCGGATAAGAAAATCCCAATATCCTATGTTCTACCACCCAATGACAGTATTTTTGGATGTTTCTCTGGTATCCCACTAGGTGACGAAGTTGGTGTGTAACTACCGTTCCCACCCTGCACTTCTGAAACTGCCGTCAGAACTGTTCTACCACGGTGACCTGTTCACGTTAGCCGACCCCTCACTCACCAGACAGCTGGAGAACTGGGAGGGGCTACCCTGTAAGGGCCGACCAATCATATTCCACGGAACAGAGGGGGAAGACATGCGGGAGGGGAGCAGCCCATCATGGTTCAACCCCGTAGAGGCAGTACAGGTACTGCGCTACACACAGCTGCTGCTAGGGGGCAGTGTCAATCAGTCTGACCTAGGAATCATCACCCCTTACAGAAAACAGGTCAGTTTGACATTTAGACTTTTCTTTTAGACTTTTCTGAGTTGATTTTCAAGGGATCTTGTAGGTGCTGCACTACACACAGCTGCTGCTAGGGGGCAGTGTCAAGCAGTCTGACCTAGGAATCATCACCCCTTACAGAAAACAGGTCAGTTTGACATTTGGACTTTTTGGGGTTGATTTTCAAGGGATCATGTCTACTCACTGTACACAGTGATAAACTGGTTACTGGGGTATAGTACAAATGTATCTTTAGGTAAAATTGTGGGGCTGTGCAGGTATTTCTGATGTCTACATATATCTGCACCTACATGTACAATTTAACCTGCACCAGTCTATTTAATGGGTGTATCACATGTGTACCTCATGTTGTGACTAGGAGGTAGTATCCTCTACTTTTTGTCAGTGACTGAAAGTACATGTAGTGGATACAGTAGCTTTAGAAACTGTTTTCTTGTGTATCTCATTAGGCCACAGCAAATAATATTCATGGATGACATCAGCGCATGCATTAACTTTGCCTGGTTTTAGAAAAAAAAAGGAATTTTGTTGCCCCCTAACAGTGGTCAACATGCTGAAAATTGGGCAAAGATGTCTGTTGCCATGCCTGCACCAACTTGCACACAAACTGGATATCTCGACCCCTGGTCTTCCATAAGTCTTGCTGTGGCCTTACCTAGATGTCTAACCTTCATTGACGCAATGGTAGGAATGATTTTGATGCGTACACATGCAGGTTGAGAAACTACGACTGCTGCTGGGGTCAGTTGGACTGGACGAGGTCAAGGTGGGGTCAGTGGAGGAGTTCCAGGGACAAGAGAGGCTCATCATCATCATCTCAACTGTAAGTCTAATCTTCATTTTAAAGCGGCATTATGTAACATTTTTGCACTAAGATTAAAATATTATATTGTGGAAAATATTCCTGTGATTGTAATTTACTTCCACATTATTAACATTATTGTCATGAACATACACGTAACAACTATATATATCTCACATTTCTGAGATTTATGGTCAGCACTGAAACAGCCCACGAGTCGCACTCAGATTGTGGTGCCACCACAAATTACATACCAGAATGTAAACAAACATGGTTGACGGTTGTGTTTCAAGCTTATAAATATACTTGAAAGGCATATTTTGGCACCTCCACTGCCTGAATGGCTCTTATTTGCAATGGGGTAGGGTCAACTGACCCTGTAAAGAAATAGCCAGAAATTTACTTTTTGTATCGTCCGTTACATAATGCATCTTTAAGGTAGTAACACTGGGCAAGGCTGAAGAATTTTTGTGAGATATCAAAAATAGTACTAATCTAACTTATGAGTATAAATCTTCATTTTTTCTCCAAGTACCTTTGATACGGCACCAGTGCATATAGTGCATATTTTGAACTGATTCCTACAAAATGTTGCATTAGATTCTATGATTTAAGTATTTTGGAATGTAGAGCAGAATAGAATTTATATCTCCTGTTCACCCTGAAACCTCTAACTTTTTTCATCCTTCCCACAGGTTCGATCGACGACCAACATGCTGAAGCATGACACCCAGCACACCCTGGGCTTCCTCAGTAACCCCAAACGGTTCAACGTGTCCGTCACGCGAGCACAGGCCCTGCTGATCATGGTGGGAAACCCCCACGTGCTGGGACAGGTCAGTTACCTCCGTGAAAAATGGAGGTATTGTTTTTATCTTAAAAGTTCATCTGTGTTGGTAGAAGTCATTATGAAACAAGATTGAACCGCAATATTGCCAACACAAGAAATTGGACTCACCCAAATGATCAAAAATTTTCGACTGTACAATTCCAGTCTTTATGAAGGGCATTACAACCATCTCTAAACAGAGACAGGGGCGCCACAGACTTTTTGAAACCTATGATCCACTGCTCACGGAGTCACGTGTGTCACATGTATATGCGTGAAGTCACAGAAGCTGTCGATTGCTCATTCTTTGCAATTGTGCAGTTCAGACTTGTTTCATTTATAAGGACTTGCTTTTGGTGTGTCTGTTGGTGTGCTTCCTAATATTTATTGGCATAACGTAAAAAGGCCTTTATGGATTGTTTGGAACTAGGAACCTTTCCAATAATAATAGATACTGAAATACAATTAATAAAATACTGGCATCGTTTTGTAAACTTGCCCGAAGACAGCTTACTTCGTGAAGCATACGATGTTTTATATTCTGGTAAACACGATTGGCTTAACCACGTAAATGACATTCTGAATTACAATGGTCTTGGACAATTCTGGACGAACCCCGGATCATACCAAGTGGATACGATAACCAATCAATTACGATCCCGCCTTCAAGATATATATATACAAAAATAGGTATAATTCTATTAGTAACAACGCAAAACTTTCTGTTTATACCGCATTAAAGGAAAATTACGGACAAAAACAATACCTCTCAAGTATACACAATCTAGATATCCGAAAAGCGATCACAAAATTAAGAATTAGTTGTCATAAATTAAACATAGAAATGGGTCGATACAAGAAAATACCAAATGACCAACGGTTCTGTCCATTTTGTTCCAAACATGATTGAAAATGAGCACCATTTTATAATGGATTGTACACTATACAATGATAAGCGCCTATTGCTGTTCACCTTTCTTTCCGCTTGTTCAATTGATTTCAATACGTTAGATGCTATAGATAAATTCAACTACATTCTCAGGGGAGATAACCAATACAGTGTTCAAATAGGAAAATACATTAAAGAATGTTTCGATCTTAGAGACCACATGTTAGAGAATAGTTAACCTTTATTGTTACATCATACATATACTCTGTACGTAAGATGATGTTATCCACACATGTATTTAGCTTTGTTAGATCTTTAGTTAAGTTGTAGAAGACCATACAAAAGTCTCTGTACTTTTTTGTTGTGTCAATAAAGAATCATCATTATTTGGTATATGGGTAGGTCTTAGGAAGACTAGGTGAATTGTGTTCCCCCTGGTAGCTGACCTTGGTACTGAAGCAGAACTTTTTGTTTTTTGTTGTACCTTTTGTCCTGGACATGCTCTGGTCTTGTTTCCATATACTGTAGTTTCCCCTCAGAATGTCTACAATTTTATTGACATGTTTGTGATTTTACCTTGTTCAAACTTAGTATTCTAACATAGCTGACTTGTGTTCAAGTAACTATGTGACAATTAGTGGTATGCTAAAAGGTGATTTCAGGTTAAACAGTTCTTAGTGAACAAATGCAATAATTTTCTGTCTCCAGGACCCTTACTGGCTGTCCATGTTACAGTACTGTGTTGACCAGGGTGCTTATACAGGCTGTTCTCTTCCCTCAACTGTGGTGAGTTTGGACCATTTTTATCTTTACCTTGAAATTCACAGAAGGAAAACATATTGTTACATGTACCTCTATGAAAAATGGAGGTATTGTTTTTGTTTGTTTGTTTGTTTCGCATAACTGGTAAAAACACCAGTTTTGTAAATGTAGGTACAAGCTGCGTCAGACCAAACTGTAAGGTTTGAACCATTACTCTTTTCGATAAGTGTGGTGGGTTCTTGAACAGCGCGTGGGATGTGGCTCTTCCAAACACGGGACCTCCATTTAACGTCCTATCTGAGGGATGTCCCTAACCGAAGCTAGGTACTCATTTATACAAGATTGGTGGCATTGGGCAGTTGGTAGTTGATGCTACCTGAAACGTCTGACCGTTTTCCAAAATCAAATCCAGCTGTTGCTTGAGTAACTGTTTTTTGGCATAACTTTCCATATTTTCCCTTACACTTGTTGTAACTCCCTTACAGAAAGTGCAGAGTGAAACTAACAGTAGCACAAGTGATGTCCAGCACACAGAACCAAGCTCCCCACTTCCTACAACAAACAGCCCTTCTTCCAAAGTGACAGAAACACTGACTCTTGATGTGAAAGACACTAGGAGGTCACATCTGGAAAGAGATAGAAATCTGTGCAGTGACAGTATTAGCAACCATAAGGTGGACATTCGAGAAAGTGGGCGCAGAGAAGACAACAACTTAGCTCTTAGTGAAGAGAAGATAGAAGCAAAGTTAGGTGGAGGGAAAACGATAGAAAGATACGATAAGAATACTTCCAAACAACAACCAGTAGCCCTTACAGAAAATCAAGTCACGGGTGCAAGCAGTGTGATACCTGGTAACAAGGACTCTGTTGTGGCTGATAGCAAAGGTGGACAACACGTTGAAAGCAGCGTCAAAGATGTACATGTAGATGTCAGAGAGGAAGAGGAGAAAAGCAGTGGTTGCCTGGTACCAGAACTCCCAAACACAGTCATCCAAAATAGAAGCAACATGCAGGGTTTACTGAACAATGGGGCACCAATTTTGTCAGTAGAAACCATGGAAAATGGAGGCATGAATGCTGAGAGTGTATCTGACTGTACAGGTCTGACATGTGAGGCTGTGTGTGACTACAGTAGCATGCCGTCACTGAGTGATGGGGAGAGTGACCAACATGACAGTGATGTGATCGTTGAGAGTAGTTACGAGGAAAGTGGTGACGATTAATGCTGATGGTTGTTCTTAAAGATACATGTAGTATTTTAACTTCTTCCTATAGGGGACCCCAGAAAGTGCGAAATGGAACGAAATGGAACGGAATATGTATAGAAGAAAGCCGTTTGTGCATTGGAACGGCGACGTTAGTGTCCGCTCGACGTCCAAATGGCAACGTTAAGATTGATGGTATTCTCGGTCGATCGATTAGGGTACGTTAATAATAAAGTGACCGTAACGTTATAAGATGGATCGGGGTACGTTCAGAATAAAGTGACCACAACGTTATAAAGTGGTCACTTTATTCTCAACGTACCCTAATCGATTTTATAACGCTGCGGTTCTAAGAATACCATTAGCACATCTTAACGTTGCCGTTTGGACGTCCAGCGGACACTAACGTCGCCTTTCCAACGTACTTCATATATATTTCGTCCCATTTTGTCCCATTTCGTTCCATTTCGTTCCATTTCGCACTTTCTGTACACCGTCCTATAGTCATTGGGCTACCAAGTCACCAAAGTTGCATTACACACATCTTTATTTTTTTAGCACTCCAGATTTGGTTTTTCCATCAACATTTTAAAAAAGTATTTCTTAGGCCACACCTATTTAATTTGTTGCTTCTCGGATAGCCCTGTCCATTTTTTTCTGATTTGCAAAATGAAAGACATAAATTGGCTCCAACGGTTGAAAAAAGTCCTTTTCTTCCTAGTTCTTAAGTTTTTCAATCTAACAATGCAATTTTGTTTCATTATAAGTTCAAAATCTATTGTTTTAAATATAAACCAGCCTGGTATGTTCACTTCATGGCTCATATCGTGACATTTCCGGCTATCATGGGGTGCCTTGGCCCATTTTATTTTTATTTTTTTTCGCCCTGTCGCTCCTGATTTTTTCTGAAAAAATCAGAGATACAACAAATTAAATTGGTGTGGCCTTATTACATTCCACAAAGTTGTTGCATTTTTTTTCATACTTAGATACTGTCACTTATACATTTGTACCTTACACAAAAAACTTTTAGTTAGTAGTGTTTTCAAGTAGTGTTCACTAAGGCCACACCAATTTAATTTCTTGGTTAACGGATTCGCCGCTTCATTTTTTTCTGATTTGCAAATAAAAATAAAAATTCAGAATCAACTGCAAAATGCTCATATTTTGCCCTGAACAGTTGAAAACAGTCCTTTTCATCCTACTTGTTACAGTTATTCCATCTTTCAAGGCAGTGGTATCATTAAAAGTTCAAAATTCATTGCTTAAATTTTGAACCAGCCTGGTATGTTGACTTTATGGCTCCTATCGTACCATTTTGGGCCATAATAGGATGCCTAGGCCTGTTTTTATTTTTATTATTTTTCGCCCGCCCGCTCCATTATTTTTCTTTAAAAATCCGTTAACCAAGAAATTAAATTGGTGTGGCCTAAGCATAGAATGTAGGATATTTTCTATAATTCTACACAAAGTTTTTGTTACACTTACTTTATAGACTTTTAAGATCTGTGGTCTGTGTTAGACAACTTGATGTCAGTGCATAGTTACATGTATAGACGATAGACCATCACATACTGGTAACATGCATTTAGATATTACTGCTCAAGAGTTCAGTCGGATGTAAAAATGGACATCGAACATGATTGTGTTCCAAATATTAAATTCCGTATGTGGTATTGTTCTTTTATTCCCTCTTCTTTTGACTTTTGAAGACTTTGCTTAGTTCTTGAAATACGTTTTTAGATTCTGTTTATTCAAGTCATTTTAGCCCTAGGTCTAAACTTTCTTTCCCCACAACACTGTTAGGGTGTATCTTGATTGTACACTAGACGATAGTTTCTTACTGAAGTTTGATAATAAATCTGTTAAACAGAATCACCGACTTCACCAATTTTCCTTTTACAAAGAAAAGGGTGAGTAGGTTGTGTTGTTGTGTATGTTTGGGTCAAGCTAAGGCCACAGTCAACAATTTGATTGTTTCATGTTAATTTCAGCTAAGTTACAGTCATTAACATGCAGTAATTGAAAATTGTTTACTTTTCTCACACTTTTCCTGCACTTTTTCTTGAATTGAGTGTATTTTGCTGGCAGTCTTTAAAAGAAAGAAATCACAGCCAAACAGCCACTTAATAAGTAATACCTGGCGCCGAATGGCTGCCATATAGACCCTTACGACAGTTCCACAAAAATTTGTGGAACAAATATGTGTATCATGTGTATTATTTGCTTGTTGTGATTTGTATTGTTTGTTTGTTTTTATTTGTTTACCCAGGGTGTACATATCGCCACTAAGGCGTTTTTCAATGTGCCCTGCAGGCATACATAAATAAAATATACAAGAAAATAACAGATATAACAAAATGATAAGTCAAGTTATAAGTACAAATTAAAGTCAACAAATAAAAGTAAAAGTACTATATAATGCCACAACTCAGTAAGGTGGTAATAAAACAAACTTGTCAAACCAAGAGCCACAACTCATAGTAATTTAAGGCAATAATACACAAACTTAAGTACAATCAAAAGGTAGTTATGATAAAAGAAACAAAAACGGGCTAATAAATTTAAGAAAACATACTAAATAAATATGACAAATGATATAAATGATAATGAAACTGAAATTTGCATATCAATGTCTAAAAGCAAAATGGAAAATTAAACAAAGAAATCATTGATTATTATGTGATACCCTGCTTCAATTCAGCCGTATAGAGGCTGCGACTGCACGGGTACTGTTTGGACAATAAAAACCATTTATTATTATTATTATTAATACTATGCTTATTAACTTAATCAGACTACTGTTGTACATTTTATACCAGTTAGTTCTATAATTGATATAACCAAAAGCAATTGCAAGTCTGTCCCCTGTTGTTAACTCAGTTTTAGTTATAAGTAAATGTAGTCAGACTCAAGTTTTCTCCCAGCCCTCTGCTTTTTACATGTACCTCATCCTTTAGGCCACACCAATTTAATTTGTTGGTTCTCGGATTTTTTCAGAAAAAATATGAAGCGACAGGGCGAAAAAAAAATAAAACAGGTCTAGGCATCCTATTATAGCCCCAAATGCTACAATATGAGCCATGAAGTCAACAAAAAAGGCTGGGTTAAAATTTAAAGTATAAATTTTGAACTTTTAATCAAACCACTGCATTGATAGATGGAAAAAACTGTAACAACTAGGAAGAAAAGGAATTTCCTCAACTGTTGGGGGCAAAAA